CCTGGTCAGGCTATACCGTCTGTACTGTTTACCTTTTTATTGCAAAAGCGACCCTATTACAACTACTGCATTAGGTAGTCGTTACATTGTCCTTATATTCACAGATTTCTACCATTTCGTTACAGCGTCAATGACCGCGCGACGTATCACGACAGAAGAGGAAGCCAAAGCCGCGCTCGCCGAGCGTCGGCGCCGCGCCAGGGAGGAGCTGGAGCGCCAGGCCGAACTCGAGAGGCAACGGTTTGTGGGCTTTATAACTATACAGCATAAGGTTCAAAGTTAAATACTACCCTCTGGCGCCGCGCGGCGTCCCAAACCGCTGGGATCCAAGCCGAACTGGAGAGGCAGCGGTATGTGAGCTTTATGTCTTTAGAATAAGGTTCAAAATTAAACAGGTCCATCTATCCGGACCACGCCCTCCCCAAACGCCGGAGAAGTTAGAAAGCCAGGCCGACTATAGTCTGGTCTGTGAGCACGTATAATTTTGTCCAATGACACCAAGCTACCCATCCTTATCGCTCGCGCGTAATTATGTTGCTGTTGCGCTCGCACACTCACTGCGGGCGCCCGTCGCACACAATCACGCGCGAGCGATAAGGATGGGTAGCTTGGGGTCAATGGACAAAATTCTACGTGCTCACGTACCGGGCTTTAGAGAGAAAGTGAAGTGCAACTTTGTGTCTTTACGTATAAGGCTCAAAATATCAACTTATTCTGACCACGCCCTCGCCGAGCGCTGGTACCACGCGAAAGGAGTTGGAACTAGCCGAGCTGGAGAGGTAGTGGTATGTCAGCTTTATGTCCTTTTATGTCCTTTATCAACTTATTTTAACCACACCTTCGTCACGGGCGAAAGGACTTACTGCTGCCTCCCGTGCAACAATGCAGTGCCTCGCAGTAGTATATCAACTTTATGCCTTTAGCAGCCTCTGTGGTCTAGTGGTAAGACCACCTGCTTCAGACGCAGAGGTCCCGGGTTCCATTCCCAGTGGGGACAAATTTTTCTGTTCGGTTTGGTTGGTGGTAGGGCTTGTTCTAAGTCCGCCTGGCTAGCTACCACCATCTTACCTAAGTTTGTCGCCATAACAACAATGTTAAAAAAGCATTGTTGTGTTCCGGCAGTTAGAGGTAAGATAGCCAGTTCCTCCGTGATTGATTCCGGGTGAAGCTCGTGTGGCAACGCCACTACAAACTAGTGACCAACAGATGGCGCTGTCACTACTTCACTATGGCACACTCCGCCGCTCATACAAACCTGCATCGCGGTGACGGAGTTTTAGATCCTGCCAAGTATATATAGACAAACCAAGATGGTGTAAATTGGACCTTGGTCCCCGAGCACAACACCCGCTCGGAAGGAAGCACTAACACCTAGCTTCCTTATTGTGGACGAACATCATATCCCACACTCGCTTCCACCTTCGGCCTGGTCATCACTTATCATTAGGTGAGATACAGGCCAAGAGCTTCCTCGTTGTGGATAAAAAAAAAGCATTAGGTTCAAGATTGATTTTTAACTTTCTTCTTTTTCTATACAGGTTGCAGCGCGAAGCAGAAGAAGAAGCGGAAAGACAGCGGCAAGAGGAAGAAAGACAGCGACGCGAGGAGGAAGAGGCAAGAGAACTCGCCGCGTTACAGCGCCGCATGGAGGAAGAGAAGCTTAGGAAAGCTATTGAGGTAGGTTCTCACATATTATAAGCTAACATTGATACAAGCTAAGATAGCTGGCAGGAATTGCATGAGAAACGGTTCATCGTATTTTGCGACGTTCCTTAGGGGAGAATTACGTCCAGCCACGGTAATACTATCTATACAGTATTCCAACTCGGCTATATTTTTTAAATAAATGTCAACAGCCGCGCGGAACGTCACCATATGACAACATGCGATAGGGCTGCCCACCTGCAGACAATTTTTTCATTACATCTGCCTACTTAGTATATTTATCTAGTTTTGTGAATGTATTTTGTGATTGTAATGTTTTATTTTATTTTGACAAACAAAATAACTTACTGAATGAAATAGGATAAAATGCGTGTTGTTTTGTGATTAGTACATTTTATTAAAAATTATATTTGTGTTAAGATTTAGTAATAAATCTTACAAATTTGCGACCGTAAAATGTATTCCCCTCGACTGAGGCGTACAAAATTCTTGATTATTATACAGGGTGTTAGGTAAATGGGTTTATAAGCCGACACTAGCCCATGTTAACATGTGTATATAAATGGTATACTTAGTGAAGTCAGAAAATTGAAATCATCATTTTAATAATTTTAATTTGCATTAAAATCTGATTTTATAAATTTTATTTTGTATGAAAATTAAACAAATTAAAATGATATCACTGACTTCACCATACCATTTATATGCATAATATGTTAACATGGGCTATTGTTAGCTAATAAACCTATTTACCCAACACCCTGTATAAATAGGTAGTTGTAATTATTTTTATAAAAAAGAGCGCTTACTATTTCAAAAACAACACATCATCCGTTTATTACATTCGCCATTCGCGACACCCCCGACTTTTGCATGTCGAGCGCATACCGAGATTTGAATTTCGAAGGAAAGTTCGCGTTTCGTCCGTTTATATGAAGTTACAATACTGTATGATACTATTACCGTGGTCCAGCAGTGAACTACTATAAGATAAGATTTCTAGTCTTTTAAGAACTAAGGCTTGGTTCACGACTTGTGACTAAAATCCCTAATAATTTAAATGAAATTTATCTTTCAGATAAACTGTAACTTTTAGTTTTACAGATTTTGGATGGCCTTCATCTTACATAACCTTTAATGTCGAAGAATTCTTCACTGACATAAAACGTTGGCACTTTTAGTGATGTTTGTGGTTGCTAACAAACTCATAAGTCGTGAATCAAACGACTTGCAATCGATAACCGAACTTTGCTAGCTTCTGACGTCATCGTTGCATAAAACAAATCAATTTATTTACAGGCACAACAGCAACTAGAGCGCGAAGAGTCAGAGAGGCGCGCCAAAGAAGAAGCTGAAAGGAAAGCGCGACTCAAAGAGGACGAAGAGAAGAGGAAAGCGGCGGAAGAGGCCGAGAGGCTTCGGCGGGAGGAGGCCGAGCGCGAGGAGAAGGAGCGCCTCGCGCGCAAGCAGCGCGTCGAAGCCATCATGGCGCGCACCAGGCTCAAGAAGGTAGCTATACAACAAGTTAAAAAGTGAGATAGGTTCAGAGGAAGAGAGAAAAGGAAAGAAAATTCAGGTTGAGAAAATAACCAAAGGCTTACTCAAGAAGGCCAGTAGCACAGCGGACTGGGCAGCAAAAAGTGAACAGAAGCCGAGCCGCTGTGAACGGATAAGGCCGAGAGGGAGGACTCAGGTATTAAAAAGGAACGAAAATTGCTCGTAGCAGGTAGAAAAAGATAGAGGCTAAAGTCTGGTCGCCGAGCACGCAGAATTTCGTCCAATGACCCCAAGCTGCCCATCCTTGTCGCTCGCGCGTAATTATATTGCTGTCGCGCTCGCACACTCACTGCGGGCGCCCGTCGCACAGTCGCGACAGCAATATAATTACGCGCGAGCGATAAGGATGGGTAGCTTGGGGTCATTGGACGGGATTCTACGTGCTCACGGACCAGGCTTTATAAAACAAGCGGGAGAGTGAGATAGCTTCAGAGAGAGAGAGAGAGACTTCGGCGGGAGGAGGCCAAGCGCGAGGAGAAGGAGCGCCTCGCGCGCAAGCAGCGCGTCGAGGCCATCATGGCATGCACGAAACTTATTTTGACAATCAAAATTGTCACATTATCGTTTAATTCGAAAGTTTTGTATCGAATTTTGTCGAATACGCAAATGATTCGAAGACGAAAATTGTTCATGCTAGAGGTCCAGGTCCTTGCTCGGCTCTCCGTATCGCATCGCATCTTCTGTCGAGCTTCGTCATAGAGGTTACATTCCCAAAGTGCGTGATCGCGGCTCTCTTCGACTTCCTCGCCGCATGGGCATAGTGCAGACTCGCACAGCGTCATCCTGTGTAGGCGCTGCCTGAAGCAACCGTGCTCAGGTAACAATTGGGAAACCACGTAATCAGGTTCAACCCAGCCGAGTGAGAGCCTCACCGCCACGATGGGAAAGAAATGGTACAGAGGGAGAGGCTTCGGCGGGAGGAGGCCGAGCGCGAGGAGAAGGAGCGCCTCGCGCGCAAACAGCGCGTCGAGGCCATCATGGCGCGCACCAGGCTCAAGAAGGTAACTAAAGCCTGGTCCGTGAGCACGTAGAATCCCGTCCAATGACCCCAAGCTACCCATCCTTATCGCTCGCGCGTAGTTATATTGCTGTCGCGACTGTGCGACGCGTACCCTCAGTGAGTGTGCGATAAGGATGGGTAGCTTGGGGTCATTGGACAAAATTCTACGTGCTCGACGACCAGACATACAACAAGTGGGGAGAGTGAGATAGCTTCAGGAGAGGCTGCGGCGGGAGGAGGCAAGCGTCGAGGCCATCATGGCGCGCACCAGGCTCAAGAAGGTAACTATAATAAAGCCCGGTCTGTGAGCACGTAGAATTTTGTCCAATGACCCCAAGCTGCCCATCCTTGTCGCTCGCGCATAATTATATTGCTGTCGCGCTCGCACACTCACTGCGGGCGCCCGTCGTACAGTCGCGACAGCAATAGAATTACGCGCGAGCGATAAGGATGGGTAGCTTGGGGTCATTGGACAAAATTCTACGTGCTCGGCGACCAGACATACAACAAGTGGGGAGAGTGAGATAGCTTCAGGAGAGGCTGCGGCGGGAGGAGGCAAGCCGAGGAGAAGCCATCATGGCGCTCACCCGCACCAGGCTCAAGAAGGTAACTATAACAGCCTCTGTGGTCTACTGGTAAGACCACCTGCTTCAGACGCAGAGATCCCGGGTTCCATTCCCAGTGGGAGCAGATTTTTCTGTTCGGTTTGGTTGGTGGTAGGGCTTGTTCTAAGTCCGCCTGGCTAGCTACCACCATCTTACCTAAGTCTGTCGCCATAACAACAATGTTAACAGCATTGTTGTGTTCGGGCAGTTAGAGGTAAGATAGCCAGTTCCTCCGTGGTTGAGGATTCCCTGTGAAGCTCGCTTCCACCTTCGGCCTGATCGTCACTTACCATCAGGTGAGATACAGGCCGCTTCCTCGTTGTGGATAAAAAAATGTATATGTACTTATTAAGTGATCCTTCCCACCTGCTAACGATCGTCTTCCATGTTCCAGCAACAAGAAGAAGAGAAGAAGCAACAGGAGAACAAGGCCGCGCCCGCGCCCGCGCCGCTTGACAATGGGAATGCGGTCGCCACCGGCGACCTGCTCGGCCTGCCTACTAGTCAGGTACGATTGGATGATATAAAAGTTCGTTCGAGGAAGTGGGAGACTTTTACCAGAGTAAATACAAATGAGTAGGTCATCTTCATAGAAACGCACCGAGCGCGGTTTGTATGTGAGCGCGCCAGTATACGTAAGCTGAATCCCCGCTAAATTTTGTCGGTGTGTGCGTGCGCGCCGCATACGTATTGGCGCGCTCACATACAAACTGCGCCCGTGCGTTTCTATGAAGATGACCTAATCATTTGTATTTACTCTGCTTTTACTTACTAGACACGCTATTCAGAATAAAAGTTGTAACACAGAACATGTTACATGACGTTGTCCTTGATTTCCTACTACGCTGACGTCATTTGCGTATATTTTTTTATCAGCTGGGCTTAGAATAATCCGGCAATGTATTGTGATGCCACCGTAAACACCGCATTTTTACTGCAGATCAATCATAATGAGGGTTTTCGCGTATGAAAGATCCGCTAGATGGCGGGACGTGGATCCCAAGTCTGACTGCTGCGTGATTGGTGGATTTTGACATATCTGTCAATGTCATGTCAAAAATAACCAATCATGCAGCATTTGGGCCTCGCGTCTACGTATTGCCATCTGGCGGATTTTTCATACGCGAAAACCCTCATTGCTTGCTTGCTTGAATTTCTGCAGTCATTGTATCAGCACAACGAAATACGCATAATAGTATTAGCGGTGTAAAGTAGGGTACATACAATGTATTCATAGGCGTGACCGAACCAGCAGCGTATGAGGAATTCAAGCCCAAACTAGAAGATTTTTTAATGCTAATCAAAGCAGCCTCGTTCGCCAAGTTATTGTCAAATTACCAAATTCCCCACAAAGCTCCGTTATCGATATGCCAAGCCGCTGTCTAGCAAATACTCTCGCCTATTGTATCCCCAAAAAATGGCTGTGACATACGGACGGACAGACGGACGGACGGACAGACAGACATGACGAATCTATAAGGGTTCCGTTTTTTGCCATTTGGCTACGGAACCCTAACAAAAAGTAACCCTTTGTATGTCCCTTCAGTCCGCGGAGGCTCCGCAGGCGGCGGAGCCGGCGCGCAACAACGGCAACGCGCACGCCGACCCGCTGGGGCTGTCCCGACCACACGACGTGAGTATGAAACCGATTTGCAGGTCTTCATTCGTAGTAGTAGTAGGACAATCTGCTCAGGTGGGGATTCTTGGATGGCTCAAACTTGGAGTGCAAGTGTGGTTTTGTTCCTCAGTCGACGAAGCACATGATGTCGTGCCCTGCGTCCCCAAACAACTGCACGCAGGAAGATTTAATGAAGGCTACTGACAACGCCATTCTTGTGGCGGAGTTTTAGGCCCACAATGGACTATCCTTTCTTTGATCACTTTGGAACATTCGCAAGCGCTAAGTGTGAAGCTCCCTACCACCTTCGGCCTGATCGTCACTTACCATCAGGAGAGATACAGGCCAAGAGCTTCCTCGTTGTGGATAAAAAAAATATGTGTTTTGCACGGTCGGAGAACAGTAGATCATTCGATTTGGAACTAGCTACTTCTGGAAAGAAAACTAAGTATAGCCTGACCAGGAACATAAAAACCCTGGCATAGAGGCGCGTCAATTGCATTTGATAGTGCAACACTGGGTACAGTCGTACCTGTATTAAATTAGTAGGCTAATTTTATGTATCAGGATTATGGGCTAATTTAATATTTTCATAAATTAACAAAAAATATTGTATTATAGGTAAACTGGTTTAAATAAATTAAATGAAACCATCAATCGAGCAAGTAGGATTTTATTATTATTCATCAATAATCAAATTCTGAACTTGAATATTCAACTCCAATGTCTGCTCATGAACGCTTCAAACTCGGTACTTATTTCTCAATTCCATAAAATTCAACACTTACAAAGTGACAAAAAACTTTAAAATAGGTAGTTGAAACAAACCACAGCTAATTTTCATAGTTGACTGTACTATACGATAAACATGTCAGTCAATTTGACAACCTTTGTCGGAAACATTATTCAATGAAAATATTGTCCGAACCCTTAGTATTTCTCTTCGACAAATACTTTAACACATTGTGAACCACTTTTCTTTCACGACTATAAAAAGATTTTAGCAATTTAATTCACAAAATCAATTGCGCACATTTAAAATAAAGTTTGTTTACACTTTGACAGCAATAGACTGACATGCAAGGTGACATGTCAATGAAGTTTTCAGTTACTGTTGCCATTAAAAGAAATTAGTACCATTAATTTTCCGCAACATGGCGAGGGTTTTTATGTTCCTGGTCAGGCTATAACTTACAAAGTGACAAAAAACTTTAAAATAGGTAGTTGAAACAAACCACAGCTAATTTTCATAGTTGACTGTACTATACGATAAACATGTCAGTCAATTTGACAACCTTTGTCGGAAACATTATTCAATGAAAATATTGTCCGAACCCTTAGTATTTCTCTTCGACAAATACTTTAACACATTGTGAACCACTTTTCTTTCACGACTATAAAAAGATTTTAGCAATTTAATTCACAAAATCAATTGCGCACATTTAAAATAAAGTTTGTTTACACTTTGACAACAATAAACTGACATGCAAGGTGACATGTCAATGAAGTTTTCAGTTACTGTTGCCATTAAAAGAAATTAGTACCATTAATTTTCCGCAACATGGCGAGGGTTTTTATGTTCCTGGTCAGGCTATAGTAGCATATACTGTTAATTAATAAATACTGTTCTTAAAATATCGCTTTCTATTCGAAACCAGCGTGATTCTGGTGCTCAGTTTGTCTTTAAAAAACAAAACATACAAGTGACGTCAGACATAATCAATCATATGATAATTTTATTATAGGCTTGAAAAGTTTTGGTAGTAAAGAGAGTACCGATTGACGGATGTTGGTCAATCTCCATTGTAAACGTCTCCAAATTCCAGACTGAGGACACGAGCCAAGAGCAGTCGGCCAAGCCCGTCCCGGAAGCTAGCAACGGCAACCACCCGGCGCGCGTCTCGGCCGCCTTCATCCAGTCCGAGCTGAGGGGCGAAGCCCTAACCAAGGCCGAGGACTACGCCGCGCACAACGGGCACAACGCGGCGCACCCGCTCACGCTGCAGAACGCCATCTAACGGCCAGCGGTGGCACTAGCAAGGATCATGTCGGCCCAAGGCGTAGATATTGGCTGGTTTGTGAAAGGAGGTTAGATTTGCGGCTGGTTTGTTACTGAGAGCTATCGTTTTAGCGCTCACCAGTTTGCTCCACTGTAGAGTAAGGTCCTGTCACTTGCTAGTAGCGAAGACAGTGGCACCAACTGGTGAGCGCTAAAGTGGTAGGACTATCGCATTTGCACTCATCAAGATGGCGCCACTGTAGAGTAAGGTCCTGTCAATCGCCAGGGGTGCCAACTGTTAAGTATAAAAACGATAGCCCTCATAAATAAAGTCTGGCTTGATCCATTTTTGAGTTGCGGTCAGGTTTTGTTCAGACACTGGCTGGTTTGATATCTAATAAAAATAAAAGTCTGGCTTGTTCCATTTTTGAGTTGCGGTCAGTTTTGTTCAAAAGCACTGGCTGATTTGATATTTAAAAAAAGTCTGGCTTGTTCCATTTTTGAATTGCGGTCAGATTTGTTCAGACACTGGCTGGCTTGATATTTAAAAATAAGTCTGGCTTGTACCATTTTTGAGTTGCGGTCAGTTTTGTTCAGAAACACTGACTGGTTGATTGATGAAGATACTTAAAAACAATAGCGTTGAATTTTAATAAAAAAAAATACATGGTCAAGGCGTAGATATTGGAAATACTGGCCATAAACTTCATTTTTACTTTCTGCGGAGTTCAAGGCTTAGCATTGACTGGTCAGGTAGCAATTTTATTTAAAACTTTACAGGAAGAGCCTATTAGCACATAATGGTGAACGATAGGAAAGTTTCACCATTTTTGAAGCTGGACAGTCTATAGCGTAATAAATTAAAAAATGAGTTAAATTAAATATTAATACGTAAATGAAATGCAAAGCATGAACCAGTGATCGTGAGTAGGCCCAAGTTAAATAATAGGGATGGCACTTAGGCCTTAGGCTGGATTTTTTTCATTTTAGACCAATTACAGACGAATTTATTTTAGTACAGACCAAAGTTTCGGTCAACGACTGACAAGACCACAGCTACCTGACCAGGCGTTTATCGTAATCTGTGTACTAATTTTTATCTTATTTTGGTGCTGCACAAGTGTTTTACTTTCAATAAAAAGTGACTTTATAGTTAATGTTAGTTGGGTTAGCGGATTGCCAGTTATAGTTATAGATATTTATACGGTTTGAATAGGATCAAAGAGTAGGTAGTGCGAAAAAAATGGCGACGGTTGCACACGCTCGGATTTAATGGGTTAAAATTAGTACAAAATAATCTGGGGCAATAGTGACTCTTTTTAGAACAAACGTCGCTGTATTGAAATTATTAGAAAAGGATAAAAGAATGTTGGATGAAGAGTTTATGAAGGTGCTAACGAAGTGAAGGAACGATTCAATAAAATATTTAGATCAAAGAAATGATAAAATAAAGAAAAAGGTATGGTATTTTATGCCAGAAGGTTTGAAAACAGCCAATATGTACGCGTTGTTGGTGAATGACGCTCTTATTAAATAGATGAAGCATTGACTGAGCTAAAATAAACGGATTTCATTAAAAAACTAAGTGGGAAATAATTCCCACTTGTTACATAAACTGAAGGCTTTTAAAGAAATGCAGTTTTAGCAATGTCAATGCGTATGATATTGAACGGGAAATGTCGGAAGAACTAAATTATAATAATTATTATAATTAATAATGCATTTATATTGCAACTCCTTGATTCAACTAAGATTGAGATGTAGCTTCTTACCTTGCGTATAGGCGAATAACCGAACGTCATCGCTTCCAAGTCATTTACAAATAAATAATATTTTCATACAGTTAACATCGCGTTAGCCGGGAGTGTATCATTAGGATCAGGGGATATAACATTAATGAGTCGTTTCATTAAAAAGTATCATTAATTCGCGTTTGATGTTATCACGATAGGTTGTGTATAATATACCGTGTAGCAGCGGTTTGTATTAAATTCGTGTAAATTATAAGTTTCTATTTATTGTGATGTTTTTTTAATCCATGCCGGTAGAAATCAATTGCTTTCCTCGTCGTACTGTGGGAGGGAGAGGAAGGCGTGTGAGAGCGGGATAGAATATGTAATGAATTGCGTCCGATTTTTTCGTGCGTTGAAAAATGCACCTTACAGCTCAGCTTGAGCACTGATTCGCTTGGACTATGCTGTAGCAACGAAGACAATTCGAAAGCAAAAGAACGTGTACAATGTGTTCTGAAGTTTATAAACGGTTACCAAATCAGTTTGTCGAGTTTTAAAGTTTGTTCAATAAGATGTTTCCATCGCAAATGTATTTCCATAACCGTGTATAAACTTGTTTGCGAGATGCCTAATAAATGGGAGCTCTGAATGATTTGTTACATAATGTTGTTTGGAAATAGTCTTTAGTTTTACGTCAATTTGAACAGCTTGATCCTGGGTCGGCTGATCTACCTTAAAAAGCAATATTTGCAATATTGATTTACGTTTTCAAAACATATCATTCTCAGAATGCTTGTTCAAAATATACAAATCAAACTCCCCTCCTCAAATTTTTTACAATACCTTATTTTTTCTAAACTATAACTGAATCAACTAAACAGATGCCATGAGCGTAAATAAATATTGTAATGATTACTTGGTCGCTCTCACAAACGCACTACTTGTGATGAAAGTTAATGTATCACCAATATAAAAATATAAGAGCTTTTTGAAACTATCTTCTATTTTATGAAAATCAATAGAACGATTCAAACTTTACAGATGGTAATATGAATGTCATATTAGTACAAAAAATAAAACAAACAAATGATGATGATAAACTTCCTAAAAATCTATGAAATAGTTAAAATAACAGATAGTTTGAAAAGGCCAAGTTGTGTTAAGCAAGCCAAGATATCCTAAAATGGAATCCAATAAATAATAATATCAATAAGTTATTTAACAATCACTTTATACGACAATTGTATGATAAGTAGTTAGCGTTACAAAATAATAATTATTAATAACAATTTATTCTTATATTTCCATTAATTCATGCAGTTTTTTTGTCATTTAATTTTTGTTTTCCACTAATATTTTTTGCTAGTTTTAGGTTCTTATTATTATGCGTTGTGATGCTCATTTATCGTGGTCAAATAAACTTTTTTGGTAAAATATAATACATAAATAACCTTAATATATTTACTGTTCTGCTGCTTCCAATAAAATACATTACTTAATTACTCTGCGTTTCAAAAAGTGGTATTACTGAATGATAAAATGTGAACAAAAAAGTATATTTGTCCATCAAAGGTCCTCTTGTATGTACGACTTTATATTTCAAACAAAAGTTTGCTCTAATACTTATGTAAAATACTATTATTGTGTTTATGCAATACACAACTTAAAACCTTGCTGAATAAAGTCGTTGTCAGTTAAATTTATATTAGAACTTGTTCAGAAACTATAGAACTGAGGCCTTATTCACATATTTTGCCAATAGGAAATAGGTGAATATTTGTAATTGATCTGCGATACGCGTAGGTAGATAAACAATTGTATCAAGCTATTTCATAGCCTTATAAGTCTTTGTTAAATATTTTTACCCGTCGTGGGCTCCGTTTGACTTACCTGAGATATTGTGAGGGCGTGGCCAAAAAAGATAAATTATAAAAAGTACATGAGAAGTCTCTTTTGAAGTGTTTAAATCAATGATGTCTCATGACGTCATAATATTTACAGAATATTTGTCTGTCTGACAGCTCATAGGTTGACTTACTGACCAAATATGACTAACATTCCTATGTGGTATAAATATGCCTCCTACCCTACACATTTATCTCAGGAATTGTCCCAAACGGCAGTTATTAGCTTTTGCATAATCTGTGGCTGGAACGAGTAATGAATTTATTGTTAATTTTACAAAACAGACAGTAAAGTGGACAATTTATTTGATATGATATGACTGATCGTTCATTTTTACATGTATAGCTTGTTTTTATTACTTGTTTCAGAATGTACTTGCACAGGCTTAATCTTTTACATTATTAGGTAGAATATCGGAATATTCACTCTCTCTTTGACTAAATGAAAAAGATTAAATTCCTTTTTTTTCGCTACAGTTAACGGCGGAAGATATAAAAAATGTTCACCAAAAAAATCAAGTTGCAAAGTTTCAGAGATAGTGAAAAATCGATGCCATTATCATTATACATAAATAAACCATATCTTGTACTATGTAGTCCTCAATAAAATAAATCAGCTTTGTTACTTGCACTTTTATGTAAATATTTATTTTAATTTACCTTTTTCGTCATTGGGCATTGCAAATTATTGAGAACAAAATACAGTTCGTAATTTGTGTACTTCAACTTTCATGTTGAAATTATTCGGAATGCCTAGAAGTGAAGGTGAATGAACAATATAATTTTGTATAGTGTTATAACTGAGATATATTATACCAAGATACTTGGGTCGCTTACTGAGCATTAGTATACTATTTTTCTTTTGCTAAACCATATACTTTCAAACGATTTAATCATGTACTTTGATTATTTTTTGCGAATTTTGTATGGTTGATTGTATGAATAATTTGCACGAGTGTGATGGGCCACCTTTATAAACTGTTGTTTTCGTAGAATGACTCCCTATTACTTATTATATAAAAACTATGATAGCCATAATGTATTATGTTAAAATATACTACGAAATATCCATGCTTAATATTTACTCGACAGAGATCATGCTACGAAAATCACAATAATAATTATTATTGGTGTATAATTGTATCGTTAACATAGCTTGTTGCAATATTATTAGCAATTATTATAAAGGCGTTGTAGATACATTTTATAAATTGACACGAATAACGGAACCCCAATATTCAAAATGGCGGCCTGTCACTTCGCGTGTGTGCGTGGGCGCGGACGAAGGTTGTTAGCTGTCACTATAAACATGTATGTAATGTATTTATGTATATCACTTCAAGACATGGCTTCTATGTACGTTCTATCTATTCTATTATTATGTTAGCAATCGATGGATTTATAAGGAAAAAGTTTTAATAAAAAATATGAAATTTATACGACTGGTTTCATTTTTCATTACCTAGCCTTTGAACT